CGGCCATCCCACAGCTTGCCACCAATGTAACCCAGTCACCTGGCACCCCGACTGGGTACCTCCGCTAAAGGATGCTCCTAGCGTTTCCTGAGGACTCCAAGCACTGCGGCAGACACCACAACCACCGAACCAGAGAAGCGTATAATTCTCTCAAGCATATGAATGCTGTAGACAGTTGAATAGGAACCATACGAATAGGTTTACTCTCCTAGCAGTCAAACTGGAACAGCATACAATAAATCCTTCCCCCAATAATGAGACGACACTTCACTTTGAGGGTTAAAACAGGAACTCTCTGTACTGTCACATACAGTCTCTTTTATTCCCAATCCACAAACATAGTACAGCCCACAGGGCGTTACAAAACAACCAATCACATCACAGTTACATCCCACATATTCCCTCCCCTTATCCTGAGAGGAAACTCAATTATACATACAGTTAAAACATACTTCTACCCAACTTTCATAACTCCAAACCATATACATCACATTCACATAAAAATTACATATTCACAATCAATCCATTCAGGGGAACAACATATTCAAAAATGGCACAAATCAGACAAGGGGTTCAAAAGTTAGTAAAAGTCCTTTGTGACTAAATGAAGCATGGCTTTCTGGCCCAAACCAGTTTCAGAGTCTTCTATCCTGGAGATAAGTAATTCAATTATCTCCCAGGACAGACACAAGACTCCATTAAGCACATGGTTGCAAAAAGACACAAAACACTTTAAAATACATAAAGTCACATTTACACATAACACACAGACATTTCACATATCCCCAGATAGCTGGGATCTGAGTGCACATTATTAGATGAATGGCACTCAGATCACACAAATAAGCCTTTCTGCAGGGGAAATAAACGGTTTAACCTGCAGGGCCATAGTCCAAAGGGAGCAGGCGAGCAACCAGGCTTCTCCAGTTCACAGTGGCGAGGTTGGTTTCGCCACAGAGAGTGCCCTGATAGACTTTGGTACAGGTAGAGAATGGCATTAATAAGCTTTCACCTTAGGCAGGATCTCTGGTGCTAAATGCAAGACAACCATATCCTGTTGAAAATTAGTGAATGGAGATTCACAGGACCAAGCCTGGAGTTCACACATTCTCTCTGCTGAGGTACTAGCCACCAACAACAGCACTTTTCTGTTCTAACATCATGGAAGCTCCTGCTAGAAGTTCGAATGATGGTTTAGTCAGAGCCTGTAAGACCAGTGGTAGGTCACATATTGGCTCAGTGGAGGATTGAGTTTAATCGCTGCTTACATGAAGCAAAGCACCAGGGGCTCTAATGCACAATAGGAACCCATCAATGTGGAAAGTGCCAATATGTGCTCCTCTAGAGTGTTATAACTCTATTGAGGAGTAATTCCAATCTCTATTCTTGAGACCATCAACCATTGTATTCTGAGCCCCTGGTTTTTCTTCTGTGCCCTGATCATCATGGGCTGTAATTCCCTCATCAATAAGTGGCTACGAGACCAACCTTTGATGACTGATATAGGAAACAGTTGCATTGATATTTGAGCAAATTCAGACCCACTTGTTCTTCAGCAACCCTCTGAAGTGAAGAAGAGCCCTAAAAATGACTCGTAACTCCATAAAATTGGATGGTAATATTGTGCCTTTCCTCATCCATAGACCTTGTGTAATGGTCCAGACACTGTGCATCCAAACCTTGAAAACTGGAATCCAACATTATAATTGCCCAGTGAGGTTCTGTTCACTGGAAACCCAGAGCTATATTCCCTGCCTTCTGTGGGTCTGAGGCTACCAGAAGTAGATCATCCACATAAAGGATCCAGGTGGTGTTCTGGACTCTCAACATCACTATAAGCACATATAACATTCTTGGGGCTGCAGTAAGGCCAAATGGTAGGGCACTAAATTGGAAGTTCTCCTCTGAGATAATGCTGAAGATCTAGGGCTATTGGAATGTGATAGTAAGCTTCCTTGAGATAAGGAAATTATCCTTCCAAATTGCTGGGAATATGGATCTGACTCCATTCTGAAGGCTCTGACATTCAGCCTTTTGTTGGCCCTTTTTAGGTCCAGTATAAGCTTCCATGTGCCTTTTTCTCAGAAGAGAGGCGAATATTGTCCCTGGAATCACTCTTGTTATGGGACCTAAGAAATCACATCTTTGTCCAGAAGATTTTGCTATACCTTTTGATTCATCTGTCTGAATTCTCTTGTTGGTATAGAGACTCATGTTTCTGAAGAAAACTCCAGTCTATATCCATCTGGACTATGGATACCACTCAAGTCTCCAGAATGTGATGAGCCCAGTGATGTCTGATCAGAAAAAATAAGGCTCCTAGTACTGGAAGACAGACACAAGAGCAAAAATGACTGCTTCATAGTTCTATTAGAACCTTGGAAGGAAGATTTACCAACTGCCATGAGTTACCTCTGGAGTATTCCCTGCAGCATCAGTAACTCCATGTATTTCAGAAATGCTGGTCCCTGGAGATTCTCCTGTCTGACCATGAGCAGCTGGGATTCTTGGATCTTCAGTCCTGAAGTACAAATACCTTGCAGCCCTCAGCCGCCTTTTTAATGGATTCATCCAAACCTTTCCCAAACAGCAGCTCCCCTTCAAATAGAATGGATTAGAGGGCAGACTTGGAGGATGAGTCATCATCGTAGAAACTGAACCACAACGCTTTCCTAGCTGCTATAGATAAAGTCATTGATTCAAGAGAATATCCTAGTTACATCTAGGGAAGCTTATGTGCAGAAAACAGTAGTAACCTGAAGACTCCAGACTGCATCTTCAATCTTGGCTCTTAATATCTCTCTCTCCATAGTAGCCTTTAGATCTTTTTTTCATTTAAAGTTTTTATTGAGTTTTTTCATCAACAATTCAATTGGGGTGGGGTTAGGGTACAGAAGGGAAGAAGGGGAGGGGATGGGGAAGCATACAGCCTCACGATTGCCATTTTCAGTTCAATTAGGGCATTACCATTGGTTGCCAGCAAGTACAGTACAACTCAATGCATCACAGTCATTTCATAAGTGAACAGGTTTCGTTTATATAATGGTTCGCTCTAGGTTGGTGTATATATCAGGCTCTATGTGATACCTGATTGGCTGGAGGTTATTGGGAGACTAGCATTGGCATTAGCCCCAGCCCCACAGTTGTCTGTGGTTTTGTCCGGTTTGGGCAGTGTAACAATTGTGGCCAGGAGCATTTCGGGAGGGGGGTATCCTACCTCTGATGCCCTTTGGTACACCTTCAGCAGGTTAGGCGCTAGCATGTCCGCAAATGTCTTGTAGTATGCGTTTGAGAACCCGTCAGCTCCCGGGGACTTACCTGGGTGTATGTTTTTTATAACTGCTGTGACTTCCTGCAACGTGGACGGTTGGCACAGTGTGTTCACTCCGTCTCTGCTGATTTTTGGGAGATTTATCCCTTGTAGGTGGTTTTGCACGGATTTGGGCTCCGGGGTTTCCCTTCCCTCGCTTTCTTTGAGGTTATATAGTTGTTTGTAAAATTGGGCAAATTCCTGTACTATGTCAATCGGGTTCATTATTTTATTGCCTGATTGGTCAAATAGGTGTGGGATTCTGGTTGCCGCTTGTTTTGTCCTAAGCCTGTTGGCTAGGTATTTAGATGCTTTTCCACTGTTATGATATGTAGTGGATCTCAACCTGTGTAGGAAGTATGTTGGTTTTTGTGCATTGAGTGTGGTGAGGTCCTGATGCAGGGCTTTTAGTTTGGAGGCCAGTGCTGGTGTGGGCATTTGTTTGTTTTGGGCAGTGGTCAGTGCAATCTGTTTAAGGCACTCTAATAAACTAGTTTGGTGGTGTTTCTTAAGGTATGTTGAGTGTCTGATGATTTGACCCCGTATTACCGCCATATGGGCAGACCACACAGTGAAGTCCGAGACTTCATCTGTGGCATTTGTGTGGAAGTAGTCTAGAAGATCTATCTTCAATTGTTCCACAAAGGAGGTATATTTTAGTAGGGACTCGTTCAGTCTCCATTTGCCCTTGCCCTGTCGGCTGAAGTGGTCTTTTAGGTCCAAGTATATTGGCCCATGGTCGGACCACGTTATGTCTCCGATCGTACAATCCTCTAGTTGTGTTAGTGTTGTATTGTCTATATAAAATGTATCAATTCGGGTGTATGTGTTGTGGACAGTGGAATGAAACGAGTAGTCTCTGTCTGTGGGGTGAAGTATTCTCCAGCTGTCATAAAGATTAAAGAGGGACATGGTATGATTAAGTGATTTGCATCATTTTTGAATACCTTTCTTTCGTCTACCTGTCAGGGAAGCGGTTGTATCCAGGGAAGGGGATTGAATGAAGTTGATGTCGCCGCCTATGATAAGTCCCCCAAGTTTGTATCGGTCTACCTTGTTCAGGAGGGTGGTGCGGAATGCGGCTTGGTTATCATTTGGGAAATATGTGGCCACCAGAGTATACTGTACATTGTTAAAGAGGCATACTATGATGATGTACCTGCCCTTTTCATCTATGCAGCTCTGTTGAAGTGTAAATGCTACATCTTTATGGATGAGGATGGAAACCCCTTTCGCTTTTTGAGTTGGACAGTGTGGGGTACAGTCTCGTAAATATGGCTGGCTCGCTATACTTTTTAAAATGCGTTTCCTGTATACATGCAATTGCTACCAAACGTTTTTTGAGATCCTGCAGTAGCAGTCTTCTTTTACCCAGGGTATTGAGTCCCCTGACGTTATATGACATAATTCTTAACATTTTGCATACCTGGTTTTTGTCTCTGGGCTGTATATATATAGGTATGGAACATGTGTTTTCCACTTAGGTACACCGCAGGGTATCACCCATGCTGTGCTACGGTAAGTCTTGGTATTTGGGAATCCGTCACTAGATAGGCTGTGGGTTATGCATGAGGGTTTCACTTGGGCCTTGCACTGAGTGGCCGGCCATAGGCTGCAGAAACAGGGGGTGGAAGTGAGGGGTCGAGGGGGTTCTTCTCTATCTGGATCACAGGATTTGAGCCTTGCTGTGCTGACTGAGGGTCGTGCACGGCCTATGGGGGTCGTGGCCGTAGGACACATAATTTGTGAGGGACTCCTACCTTGGGGAGCTGTGGGAGCATAATGGTCTGTAACATGTAACACTTTGTAAGAGGGTGTGGCGAGGCACCATGACCCAGGGCCTCATATGTTTGGCAATTATCATGTGCAACTCTGGGCTCCAGCTCCGGTTCCCCCACTCCCTGGCTTATGGGCAATGTCGATATCTAACCGAGACTTTGTCTCGCTGTCCTGTATTGCACATTACAATTTCTGGAGGCAAAAACTTAGCTAAACAGAAGCGAACAGTATATAACAAATAAGTAATTCTAAAGCAATAACCTCTGAACTTTTTCACCTAGCAGGGTTATATATTGGTTTTACATTTGGTTGTCTAGTATATCAACACCTTACATACACCGCTGCCCTTCTCTCCTCTCCTTAGCGGGTGGACCAGTCCTGTGTCAGCCTGGGGACCTTGGCTGGACCTGGAGCCGTCAGTGGGATACCCCAGTCCTTGAGCATGCGTATGCCTTGTGTTGGTGACGCTATAGCGCGAAGAGAGTCCTGGTGGTATACCAACAGTTTAGCTGGGTATCCCCATCTGTAGTTTAAACCTTGCGCACGTAGAGTCATGGTGATTTGGGTCAGCAATTTGCAGAATTGCAGGGTCTCTGCCGACAGGTCTGAGAAAATCTTGATGTCACGGAATCTTTCTGGCATCTCTGCATTCCTGGTGACTCGGAGTATACGTTCTTTGGCGTGGAAAAAGTGTATTCTGGCAATGACGTCTCTCGTGGAGGATGCAGGTAGGTGGGCAGGTCTCCTGAGGTGGTAAGCCCTGTCAATGATCAGTTTATCGGGATGTATTTCAGGGGTTAACTGGAGAAATAACTCTTGTAAGTAGTTGTCCAGTTCGTTGTTGCCTACTTTTTCAGGTATGCCCTTAAATCGCAGATTGTTTCTGCGTGACCTGTCTTCCAGGTCTGCCAGTTTAATCTTTTGTGTTTCAATAGAGCTGTGTAATTCCTGCAGCTTGTCAGTTAGGCTATTATGTGCTGCAGAGTGGTCATCCATTCTTGTCTCTAGATGGGCCGTGCGATTCCCAACGTCCTGGATGTCTTTTCTCAGTTCAGCTGTTAAGGTCTGCATTTGGGTCTGGAAACTGAGATGTATGTTTCTGGCCAAGTCTGCCATCATCACTTGCATGCTTGCCACAGTGAGGACTCTGTCCTCTGTGTCCGTTCCTGGGGAGGCCGAAGGTGAGAGAGAAGCTTCACGCGAACACTGGGCGCCGCCATCTTGGTCCAGGCCTTCCCGCGCTTTTTGCGTTGCTGGTTTGGCAAGGAAAAAGGTCGCTTTATCCGCTTATGTGGATTTCATCTTCTGCCTCTGCGACATACCGTCTGGCTGAGTGTTATTTTTTCGTGCTTGACGCTCTGTAGACCGGTTATTGTCTGCTCTTTGTGGCTCGATCGGTGGGAGCTACTCCTCCATGCATCCGTGCAGCTCGAGCGCCAGGCCACGCATCCCCCCCTCCAGATCTCTAGAAACAGCAGTGAAAGCTACAGCTTCGGCAGGTGTATACATTTTGGACAAGCCTGCGTCCACTTTTGATCCAAAGGCTTGTGTAAAAAAGCAGAGTTTTCAAGCGGTAGCATCGTCCCACAGGCTACCCTGGAAATTGGTGGTGTCGTCCAAGGGGTGGAAGTACCTTCCTCCACAGGGTAAAGTTTGACCTCTTTTTCTTCCCTCTAAGGCCACTGAAATACCTTGGAACTTCCTTTGTAAGCTCTGCCCATATGTCATGTGGTTGCGCAGGTATAGGTGATGCTGAAGTGGCTACCTTCTGGAGACAGTCAGTGCATAACCGTTTTCCTTCCTCTGCTTTCCCATCACAACCAGAACATAGTGTAGATTCAGACAATACCTTGCAACTTCCTTTGTAAGCTATGCTAACATGTCCTGTGGCTGCGCAAGTATAGGTGATGCTGGAGAGGTTACCTTCTGAAGACAGTCAATGCATTACGGTTTTCCTTGAACTGCATTCCCATCACAGCACATATGAACAACACATCAGAACATGGTGTAGATTCAGACATCAAATAAACAATAAAATAAATATTACCTGACAAAGTACTAAAGTAAGAAGGGTACCGTCAAATTATATTACCAAGAAAACAGTCAAACAGATTTAAAACAGGCTGAAACAGCACTTACCCATTGTCTGCAGAACCTGCAAATACTTTCCAAATAAGTTTGGGATGTTTACTTCACTTTTCCCTCCATTTTAGGTACTTTCTGACAATTGCCCTTATCCAAGATGGCTGTCACAACTTGTATTCCCATAATGCAAGTCATCGGTATTGGGCCCTTTAGGGCACAAACTGCACATGCGCGGGCATCTTCCAAATGCATTTGCCATTTAGAGACTGGGGAGAGAGCTCGGTCTGCAGCATACATGGCCCATGAACACCCAGGGACCGGGAATAAATCTCCGGGACTGAGGGGAAGCATTAGAAATAAAATAAAAGTGCTTGCAAGGTGATTAAAAGGCAACAAGATGCAAAAGTCAAAGTTTAAAGGCACCAATGCATAAAGGCAACATGGTATAAAAGGCATCACAGCCTAAGGCACAGCTGCATAATGTACCACAGTTAAAGGCATCATAGTATAAAGGCATTACAGCATAAGTAACAGCTGCATAATGCACCACAGTTTAAAGACATCACAGTTTAAAGACATCACAGCATAAAAGCATTACAGCACAAGGCACAACTGCATAATGCACCGCAGTTTAAAGATATTACAGCATAAGGCACAGCTGCATTATGCACCACAGTTTAAAGGAATCACAATGTAAAAGTACCATAGTATAAAAACACCACAATATAAAGGCACCCTAATATAAAGGCACCACAGTATAAAGGCACCCAAAAATACAAATAATGTAATGAAGAGAAAAAAACATACATGATCATAAGTAAAGGGAGCAATGGAATAATGAAATATATATATATATATATTTGTGCTCGGAATTTAATACGTAATGGATAGTATCTGAAAGGGCAAAGTTGGTTGTGGTGTGCCGAAACCAACGTACGAGTGGGCCTGTAAATAAAAGAGGGCCCACCAAGGAGAATGTAATGATAACAGGGTGTAGGTGGGTGGGGACAATCAACTGGACCGGCAAAGGTGAGTAGGGGCTGGGAGTTTAAGTAGGGGACTTACTCCTCCCACAAATTCAGGCCTAATGGCCTTTCTACTTGTGCTTGGAATTGAATACGTAATGGATAGTATCTGAAAGGGCAAAGTTGGTTGTGGTGTGCTGAAACCAACATACGAGTGGGCCTGTAAATAAAAGAGGGCAAAAGAGAAGTTCGAGAAAATACACACTTTATTGCCTTTTTTACATAACCAAGTTCCTGAAAGCTTGACGAAGCTCTTTTTCTGGTCGTGGTATATATCTATGATATATGGAGGATTTCCAATGACCCAGTCTCTTGATGATGTAGACCGGGGTGTTTGTGCTAGAGGCTGATGAAGCGGCTCTTATGCGGAATGAGTGCCCGGAGAATGAAGCCGGATTGTAACCCAATTTGGATAGTAGTGTTCTGACATGTGCCGTGAATTTAACTGTGGTGAGCGGGTGCCCTTGTAGTGATAAGAGCGGAGAGTCTGGTAAGTGCGCGTGATGGGTTGACCGTAGCTGGTCTAGCGCCTTGACCGGACACCAGGCATTATCGGTAGGGAAGAGAGGAATTATGGTGGGGTGTTGTGAGTGATTAGTTTTAGTTGATGTGATCGTAAGTAGGTAGTGATCCTCCACCTTAGTGAGGTGTGATGTTTTTAGGCTGTGAATGATATCTCCTTGACAAACAACAGTGAACTCTCTGGGTCTCAGAAAACCGTAGAAAGCAAGATAAATAGCAGATTTGATCACCAGGTTTGTGTTGGGATCGAACGGGGATTCGTCAAGGAGATTGCTAAGTGATCTAAAGATAGGCCCATCTATAGGTAGTCTGGTGGTGGTGAGTGGAACCGAAACCTTTAATATACCTTTCAAGACCTTTTTAATGGGATATGATGACAAGAAGTGTTGTTAGGAAAATTTGTGAGGCTATGGTGCTGAACCCCGGTGAGGTAAAGTTTAATGGTGTTGTGAGAAAGTTTAAGATGTAAATGGCAGAAAGAGGCAAAACCCACCATGGTTTGTGTAGAGAAGTCGCCTTGTAAACCGAATTCTGCAGTGAATTTGTTAAAAATGGTAAGTGCCCTATTGTATGAGATAGCTGTGTTGGGTGAAAAAGGTTAATATAGTTGTGGGGCCGATTGTTTTTGATGGAGATAATGGTACACCAAGCGTGGAAAAAAGTGCTGTAGTACTGCTGATAGCGGTGGGTGTTTGTGCCCCTGGCTCTATCAGTAAGAAGTCGTCTAAGTAATGGATAACAGAGTGACACCTGAGGACGTTCAGAAGCAGCCAGCATAGCGTCTCGGCGAAGAT